CCCCCCTCTGCCAATCCCTCCACTGGCTTCCATCCTCCTCTGCCAATCCCCGCACTGGCTTCCATCCCCCGCCCCCCTCTGCCGATCCCTCCACTGGCTTCCAATAGCCCAGAGGATAAAATTCAAAATATTAACAACCACTTACAAAGCCATCCACAACTCTGCCCCCGGATATATCTCCAACCTGGTCTCAAAGTATCACCCTAACCGTCCGCTTTTCCAAAGACATCATGCTTTCCAGCTCACTCGTCAACTACGCCTCCAGGACTTCACTAGAGTCTCTCCCATCCTCTGGAGCTCTTTACCCCAACCTGTCCGTCTGTCCCCACTGGACTACCTTTAGGCGATCACTTAAGACTCATCTCTTCAGGGAAGCCTATCCCACCTCAAACTAACCACTCAACCATCACGTTCTCAAACAATTCATCCCCACACAGCTCCCTCCTCATGTATCACTTCTCCCTCAGTTTTAGATTGTAAGCCCTCAGGGGCAGGGCCCTGTTTACCGTCTTGTCTTGTGATTGTAATGTCTTCCTTATATTGTAAAGCGCTGCGCAAACTGTTGGCGCTTTATAAATGCTGTATAACAATGTTCATTTAAATACAAATACAATTTCAAAAGCAACCGAAGTTCCAGATGTAGTCTACGAGTCTCCCCTGAACTACTAGAGGGGGTACAATGCGAGCAGCCAGTCAGATTCAGCTACAGTACATTTACAGACAGGGAACAAGGTCAAGGAAGAGCTGGGAAACCTTTCAGTCCCCTGTTGCTCTTTCATTATCCAATCAGCAGACTGGGGGGTGTGTCTTTGGGCACTCTTTGCTGTTGATGAAGTGGAGGTCACCTGCTTTGCTGTATGATTGGGGTACAGGATTACACAACTGACTAAGGAATAAAAAAGAACTCAAACAGGTTTTTATATAAAAGAAAGATTTATTTATAGCACTTAACCTGAATATACAAAGTAGTGGTCAAGCATCAACTAATGAGGTATACGGTTTTATGACGACAAGACTGTCTACGCCTCAGAAATCTCTGCCATACACACTTTGATAGGATTACAGAGAAAAAAAATGTACATAATAAACCTTGAAATAGTTTTTTTTTCCAAACTCTGTTTTTCTTTTTTTTTTGCACCACAACTATATACTGAACAGCAACAAAATCGAGTCCAAAGATCTATACAGAATGCCCAGATTTCCCTTTCTGGCGGATCTCTTTGGCCTTCATTGCATATGAACAACGTTCTATTCTAAACACCATTATATTACAAGAAGGCAGCTTTGCTCCAGAATACACATGGCCGTACTATCGTGAAAGAAAGAAGAAGGCGACATGTGCTTCCCAGATGTACAGAGAAGGGAAAGCAAAGCTTGGCCACCACATGAAAAAAAAAAAAAAAAAGTTAAGATCTTTTTTTTTTTTTTTTTTTTTTTTTGAGAAAAAAAAAAAAAAGTTAAGATCTTTTTTTTTTGTTTTTTTATTATTGTAGCAATCAACCAGTACAAACAAAGCACCAATAAATAACATTTTACAAAAAACCTTAGCTGCTATCTTGGCTGTGTGATGATGTTAAAGGTCCTCTAGTGCATGTGGGTTTACAGTATATAAAAAGTCATTCTGTAAAATGTACAGATATAAAGCACGTTTCTCTACAATTTAAAGTCAACCATGTCACTTAAGCTATAAAATGTCTGGAAAGGATTTGGGGGGGGTTGGGGATTAGGCGGACTCTTTGACTTCTGTGGAATCTCCATTTTCTGTCTTCTGTTTTTTAGCTTCGGTTTCCTCCTGGAAGACAAGAGAAGAGAACGGGGATAAAGGACAAGAACATAAATCATTGTTCCATTAGATAAACGAAAATCCTTTCTGGGTGGCAGCTCCTCCTCACTAGCAGCAAATTGTTTTCCCGATGCTTGTTACCTAAACTTCCACTAGGGGGCGCTGAGCTCAGAAATGACCATTGGCCTCGGTCTCTACAAACCAGTGGTGGCTCAGCTGGAAAGCCAAGCACCCCCTCTTATCTGTTGCAGCATTGCTAGGACTAGAGGCCTCCCTATTACCTCTGACCCTGGGCAGCACAGTGGCGTAGTGGTTAGCGCTTCTGCCTTGTAGCACTGGCGATCTCTGGTTCAAATCCTGGCCAAGTCACTATCTGCAAGGAGTTTGCATGCTCTCCCTGTGCTTGCGTGGGTTTCCTCCGGATACTCTGGTTTCCTTCCACACACCAAAGACATGCTGAAAGGTTAATTGGCTCCTCTCTAAATTGATCCTTGTATGTACGTGAGATAGGGACCTTAGGTTGTAAGCTCCTTGAGGGCAGGGACTGATGTGCTGCGTAAATTGTCAGCGCTATATAAATGCCTGTAATAAATAAGACCGTTCTCTTTTTAGTAGTTGTGCACAGAGACCAAATTGAGGACACCAGAGCACATTGGAGAACCAGAAGTCCCAGCCTACCCAGCTGATACATGCTGAATCTAATCATCTGCACAGTTCCAGGTGGCTGATTCATATTCTAGACAGCGACATCTATGAGATGCTTCTAGTGTCTGATGGCTTCAGGTCAGTAGATTTATCACAGCAGGTTCAGACTTGCTTCTATCACATTCCGCTGAGACCAGCCCCCAGAAAGCACAGTAGATGCTCCTCACCTCTTTTTCTGCTGGACGTTTCACAGGAAGACCATCTACTTCATTCTCCTCGCCTTCCTCCTCCTCCTCCTCATCATCTTCTCCTTCGCCCTCTCCTTCTACTGAAAGAACAAAATGGAAATGTTAAAGCCGATTCAATTACAGATCATTAAAAAACAAAAGTCATGACTTCTTCCTGCCGCCCCTTTAAAAGCTGGAGGTAAGTCTCGGACAATGTGATTGGTTGTCACAGCAATAATGTAATTGGGAACCTATCCAACCGGCTCCTTTGTGACAGGAGCCGTCAGTGACAATGCAGTCACAATGCTGCAATGTGATTAAGCCAAAAACATCTACGCCGTCTGTACACGCAGGTGGCATCACAGCACAAGGCTCACCTCCACGCCGCCACATGTATGCGTACGGCCCGGCGGGGATCAGATAAAGGGACTCCGGCAATACAAAACAGTTGCACGGGAAGGATCAGCCATTACCTGACCTGTACACCAGGGCCCGAGCAAGGTTTTGCTTCACCTCCCCAAATCCATTCTGTGAGAACTTTCACACAAGTTCTGCTTTGTGACAGGTTTCAAATTAAAAGAAATGTCTCCAAATTACCTTCATCCTCCTCCTCTTCAGTATCATCTGATTTCTCCTTCTTGTGTTCTGCGCCGTTCTTCTCCTACAAAACCAATACAAAGGTTATCACTCACCCTAAAACACTGATTTCTGCTGATAAGATTCAAAGGCAGCAGCAGCTTCCGAGTCTCCCATCACCCGATCAATGATAAATGACAGCAGCTTCTGACTTCTCCCATCACCCGATCAATGATCGATAAATGACAGCAGCTTCCGAGTCTCCCATCACCCGATCAATGATAAATGACAGCAGCTTCTGACTTCTCCCATCACCCGATCAATGATCGATAAATGACAGCAGCTTCTGAGCTCTCCCATCACCCGATCAATAAATGACAGCAGCTTCTGAACTCTCCCATCACCCGATCAATAAATGACAGCAGCTTCTGAACTCTCCCATCACCCGATCAATAAATGACAGCAGCTTCTGAACTCTCCCATCACCCGATCAATGATCGATAAATGACAGCAGCTTCTGAGCTCTCCCATCACCCGATCAATAAATGACAGCAGCTTCTGA